ACCAGCCTGGTCTACAGAGCAAGATCCAGGACGGGCACCAAAACTACACGGAGAAACCCTGTCTCGAAAAACAAAACAAAACAAACAAACAACAATTCCAGCCTTAAAAATATTTTCCAGGCAGTTTGCCCTTTCGTCTTCACCCTCCTGTTCAGGTCCCAGTGTCTCGGGATGGTCTCGCAGAACCGCGCGCGACCCAGCTGCCGCCAGCGTTCGCAAGGGAGCTGAGCCCAGCGGGGACGCCGCTCGGGGCCCTGTGGGCAAGAGGCTACAGCAGGAGCTGATGACCCTCATGATGTCTGGTGACAAAGGGATTTCCGCCTTCCCTGAATCAGACAACCTGTTCAAATGGGTAGGGACCATCCATGGAGCAGCCGGCACAGTATATGAAGACCTGAGGTATAAGCTCTCACTAGAGTTCTCCAGTGGCTACCCGTACAACGCACCCACGGTCAAGTTCCCCACGCCCTGCTACCACCCCAACGTAGACACCCAGGGTAACATCTGCCTGGACATCCTCAAGGACAAGTGGTCCGCACTCTATGACGTCAGAACCATCTTGCTCTCTATCCAGAGCCTGCTAGGAGAACCCAACATCGATAGCCCTTTGAACACACATGCTGCGGAGCTCTGGAAAAACCCCACAGCATTTAAGAAGTACCTGCAAGAAACGTATTCAAAGCAGGTCTCCAGTCAAGAGCCCTGACGCAAGATGTCCAGCTTCTCTCGTGTGTCGTCGTCTTCCTTAGGTGGTCTGTCCTTTCCTTGATTTCTGAGCTGTGCTGTTATTTTTGTTTTATTGTTTTGTTTTTTTTTTTAAATTAAGTCTGCTTGAGCCCTTTCAATGTATATTAAATAAATACATGTTGGTTGTTTTTGTATTAAAAAAAAATATTTTCCATATAAGGATGCTGAAGAGAACCCTCCCGGACCCCTCTCACTGAGGTGAGGATACTTCTGCCCTTTGAGACCGTCTCACTTCTCCTCTGCTAATAATTAATCTTGTGTCCCATCATTAAATAACTGAGCTCCCTAAAGGCTGACTGGGAATGCTGCTTGGCTCAGCATGTGGTGTGGGGGAAGGGCCAATAGTGACAGAAAACCCCGTCTGACAAAGCAAGCAAAGGGAGAAAAAAATTGCCTACAAAGTAACAAGATAGTGTATTGCCTGGGTTATAAACCGACCCTGGAGGTTTTTCACAGATCACCCTGCAAGATGATTTGGGCCACACATTAAGGCCTGCTGGCTAGCCACATAGTGTCAAAGGGGGAAAGGCTGACTTTAAAGAGAATGACCATCATTTTGAAACATTTGTTTGGGTGTGATTAAAAATAAGGGTACAGCCAGGTGTGGTTGCGCACGCCTTTAATCTCAGCACTCGGGAGGCAGAGGCAGGCAGATCTCTGAGTCTGAGGCCAGCCAGGTCTACAGAGTGAGTTCCAGAAAAGCTGGGGTTACACAGAGAAACCCTGTTTCGGAAAAAAAAAAAACTATATAAACAAAAAACAAACAAACAAACAAACAAATAAATAAATAAATAAAAGAAGCAGACAAAGGTCGAATTCCGGACAACTTTAAATGTCTTGTTTCGGGACCGCTCGGGCCATCCCTCACCGACTGATGTGTTCCTGTGTGCTTGGCTGGGACTGCATGAGCTGGTCACAACCAGCAGTTAGCCAGGATCAGAGACCATCACAGGTGCCGGAGGGCCAATGCAGGAGTCACATCTGCGGAAGTGCTTCCTCCGCCAGAGCTGTTCACCCCTAGCAGCTCCGGGTCCGTTAATGGGGATACTGTCTTTAGTCTGGGCAACCTCCCGGGACCCTCTTCCGTGTCTTTCTTCTCCTCCAGGGCCTTTGGGGCTCTTGCTCTCTGCCACCCTTTTCCCTGCCCCAGACCTTGGAGGATGACAAGTGCTCCCAGAGAAGAGAGCCCGCAGGTCAGAAAGACAGCCTGACGGAGGGTCTTGCCTTCCCTCAGGCGGATACAGACGCTTGAAAGACTGGCTTGCTTTGATTAAAGATGCATTTTTTCTCTCTCCACCTAAGTGGAAGGTATTTTCCACACAGTTAGGTCTTTTCCATATACACTGACAGACAAGACCCCACCCTCCACCCCCTTCCTCTTTTCCAGATCCTTCCTTTTCTCATCTGGAGAGGCTGCCCCTCCCTTCGTCAATACTCTCGGGGGGGGGGGGGGGCTTTCATTTCCTTGGCTCCTTATCAATCAACCAGAGGCAAACCCTGGGTGAGCAACAGCGGAAACCAGCAGCTGCCGGGACAGTGGGGACTTCATTTCCAGCTCTGACGTTATGGATGTGGCACAGACTACCAGGAGGGACTGGAATAAATAGTTTCTCCAAGGGTCCCTAGGGCTGCTTTAGCATGGAGCGTGGTGGTGTGCCACACAGAAAGTGGAGTACAGCCGTGTGCAACCCGGAGTGAACTACAGTCTTTGCCCTAGCTTCACAGAAGACACCAGGACCCAGCACCCAGTAGCACCCAGTAGCACACAGAGAGAGGCTGGGGAGAAGTCCAGGGTGGGAGGGTGCTGGCTCCACACTGCAGCTATCAGTTTCTTCATCTGTAAATTTTGTTTTTAATTTTTTTTTTTTTTTTTTGGTTTTTCGAGACAGGGTTTCTCTGTGTAGCTTTGTGCCTTTCCTGGGACTCACTTGGTAGCCCAGGCTGGCCTCGAACTCACAGAGATCCGCCGGCCTTTGCCTCCCGAGTGCTGGGATTAAAGGCGTGCGCCACCACCGCCCGGCTGTTTTTAATTTTTTGTGTCTTGTTTTGTTTTGAGACAGGGTCTCAACTGTGTAGTCCTGGCTGGCCTGGAACTCTTAGAGGTCTACCGGCCTCTGTCTCCAAGCTACAATATATACATATGTACATATACATACATATGTGCATACATACATACATGCCTTCCTTCTTAGCTGGGCATGTTGGCACACATAATCCTAGTACCTGGGAGTCTGAGGCAGGAGAATCACTTCAAGTTTGAGGCCAGTCTGGACAACATGATAAAACCCTGTCCAGAAAGAAAAGTGGGCGTGGGGGTGGTGTATGTATGAGGGGTGCCTCAGCATTTAAGAGCATTTAATGTTTTTTTAGAAGACCTGAGTTCAGTTCTCATGTTGGTGGCTTAGTAACTCCAGCTCCAAGGGATCTCGTACTTTCTTCTGGCCTCTGGGGGTACCTACACACGTGTAGCATACACACACACACACACACACACACACACACACACACACACAGACATACCCATGCACACCGGCAAATTAAAAATAAGTATAAAGGAAGGGAGGGAGGGAGGGAGGAAGGAAGGAAGAAAGGAAGGAAGGAAGGAAGGAAGGAAGGAAGGAAGGAAGGAAGGAAGGAAGGATGGATGTACCCGCCTGTTGACTTTACAGGGCTGCTGGTGATGGACTGAGAAGCCTGGGAAGTAAGTACTCTGAAACCTGTAGCAAGTATATGTGAAGAAGTCATGAGAAGAAGCCATCTGAGATGTCCAGAAGCAGCTTTAAAAATGTTTTATTACAGGGGCTGGAGAGATGGCTCAGTGGTTAAGAGCACTGGCCGCTCTTCCAGAGGACCCAGGTTCAATTCCCAGCACCCACATGGCAGCTCACAACTGTCTATAACTCCAGTTCCAGGGAATCTGGCACATTCACGCCAATGCACATAAAATAAATTTTAAAAAAAGAATAAAAATTTTTTATTACATTTTTATTTGTGTGGGGGGTGCAGGGAACAGGGATACTTGACATTCTGTGTGTGTGTGTGTGTGTGTGTGTGTGTGTGTGTGTGTGTGTGTGTGTGTACACCTTTCAGGAACTGATTCTCTCTTTTCATCTTGTGGGTCTAGGGGCTCGAACTTGGGTCTTCAGGCTTGGCAGCAAGCACCTTGGCCCACTGAGCCATCTCTCTGGCTTTCTGAGGCAGCGCCCTGTAGACCTTTCCTTGTCCATTCCAGGAACCTCCACTTTCTTCTTTCCTTTGAGAATTCTGGGCAAGATGCCCTGAGAGTCTGTTCCAAACACAGCTGGAATCGTCCCAATGTCTTTTCTAAACCTTTCTTTCTCCTGCCCCCCTAAACAGCAAGCAAATAAAGGTGGACAAATGTGCAAAGGGAGAGCCTGCCAGGGAGTGGGGGCAGGGTACGGAGGGGGGGGGACTGCAGGGAGAGGGGAGTGGGGAGGGGCTGACAACCACTGTGAGGCAGGAAGCTGGTAGCAGCTGGTTACAACTCACCATGCCACTGAGAACCCAGCAGGCTCCTTTTAAGGTTCTGTAGAGAACCCTGCTAGTGAGATGAAGCCCAGCATGGGCCCCACAAACCTCCTTTTCTTTATATTCTTGGACTTTCCAGACACCGCTTGCTCGTGACCTTTCACCTATTCTAGCTTTGCTGTGGATTTGGATTCTATCTAAGCCAAGGGCGGGCTGTGGCTGAGAGTGAAGCTGTAGGCAGGATGCTGATGATGCCCAGAGCCTATTCCTGGGTCCCATCAGGAATGCAGTGATCTGCACAGCATTTCCTTCTAAGCCTTTCCTATACATAACAAGATTCCACCCAGCTACACTCCCCAGAGGCAGCTACTGGCGCTTCTTGTTACAGGAACCAAGAAAAACCTGATTTTCTTTAAACATTTGTTCAACGCTTTATTTAGAGAGGTTAGGTACCGCACGGGGGACGATGAACGCTAGGCTGCGATTCTCAGGTGTTCTGTACCATTTGGGATGGTGGGTCATTATACACCTCATTCTTCAAAACATATGCAGGAAGCAGGACCCTGTCTCAGCTAAAGACAATTAACCTTGGGGTCACAGCCTACACCCACACCTTATCAACATGGCCTTCTTTTTAAACAAATACAGTGATTTCCTAAAGGCAATCTCTTCAGTAAAATTCCTCCTGCACTTATTTCAACTCAAATGTGCTTTGGTGGATGCATACTGGTCCCCCCAGCCGAAACCCGGCTGCCTCACACAAAGCCAGCTCTCCTGTTGCCTATTAGGATGAGATTCCCACTTTGCTGCCCAAGGAGAGAGCTGGTCATCTTTACTGACAATTGTCATTGTCCTTTTCCACCACTGATATCTAGGAAGGGATTGGATGACATGAGAACAGTATAAATGGAGGCCATCCTGGAGGGTTTGTGTATTCTGAAGCTCAATGATTGGACAAGAACCAAGTCTGGAAGCCTGGTTATTTGGGCCAACCATGCCAGTAAACAATGGAAAACAATGGGGAAAAAATGGATATTGAGGACACACCTTTAAAGCCTTGAACATAGCAAGATGTTACCAGGATAACATGGAAGAGACCAGAGGGTAAAAACATTCATTTCTTTCTTTCTTTTTTTTTTTTTTTTTTTTTTTTTGATTTGTTTTTTGAGACAGGTTTCTCTCCATTCCCGTAGCATTGCTGTCCTGGAACTCACTCTGTAGACCAGGCTGGCCTTGAACTCACAGAGATCCACCTGCCTCTGCCTCCTGAGGGCTGGGGGTTAAAGGCGTGCGCCACCACATTCTTTCTTTAAAAAGTCCGTGTCAATCCTTGCAAATCTCAATTTTCATTTTGATGTCTTGGTATAGTGAGGGACCTAGAAATCCAAGCCTACTGCCTATGTAGAGTGGAGAGACTAACAGAGAAAGTTCTAGTCAGGCATGGATGCAGGGGCCTGTGATTACGGATCCTCTGGAGTCTGAGGCAGGATGATCAGAAGTTCAAGGGCTTCAGAGTGAGTCTGAAGCTATCCTGGATTCTGTCTCAAAATAAAAGTTAAACGGGGCTGGGGACATAGTTCAGTGGTGGCAGCGTCTGTCTGACCCAAGGCCCTAGGTTCAAACTCTAGTACAAAACCAAAGATTCCTCCTAATAGGATGCAGCCCTGAAGGGATACCCCAGCAGGAGAAGGAAAACGGCAGTTGGCAGTCAGGCAGCCTGGTTCATGTTTCGTGGGTAGTCCAGGGAACCTCAGGCTGGGAACGCCCACCTTGTAGCGACAATGTCAGGCTATGGAGACCGGGAAAGGCAAGGGGAAAAAAGCAGGTGCCTGAGAGAGGGAGGCTGCTGATAGTCTCAATCCCTGACACAGCCTCACCTCCACAGTCATGACACTGTGGGACACTTCTCAGACCTCTGACTTGTCCTTCCTCTGATGTCTGCTGAGCTTCGGTGGGATGCTCTTTAGCGGGAGAAATGTACCCACTGGGACACAGCGGAGTAAAGACACCTGCTGGTGAACACCAGGCGTATTTTAGAGCTCCTCAGACAAGGGTGCAAGATACA